ATCGTCATTAATACATAATACCGAAGGAATCATACCGAAAGACGTAAACACCTATCTATTAATAATACCATCATCACTACTAACGTAATTAACAACGATTAAAGGTAAATTCATTTGATACAATAATTGTATAAAGATATCCTTTATATAAATAATACCATCATCACTAAACTACGTCAATTAACAGCAATCATAATCGTCATTACAAAGGCATAAATACCGAAGGAATCATACCGAAAGGACGTAAACATATCCTATCTATTAATAATACCATCATCACTAAACTACGTCAATTAACAACAACCATAATCCTCATTAAAGGGTAACATTGTGAAATATCCTTTGTATAAAGTAATTTGTATAAACACATCTTTGTATAAATAATTACCATCATCACTAAACTACGTCAAATTAACAACAATCATAATCGTCATTAAAGGTAACATCTTTGTGAAAATAAACATAGTAATTCTTATCCTATCTATTAATAATACCATCATCACTAAACTACGTCATTAATAACAATCATAATCGTCAATAAAGGTAACATCTTTGTGAAATAAAGATGGTAATAATTCTTACTCCGAGGTACCCGTTACTCAGGGGTACACCAGGGGATTCTTCGAGGGTACAAGACGCTAAGATACAGTATTGAGGTTTTGGAATAATGTAAAACGCTGGTTAAAGAACGTGTCTTGAATGGACTTATGTGTGTTAGATCGGATGTGCTTTCTGTCGTGGGAAAAAAATTTAGTTTAACAATGGTTGTATGTCTCTCTCTTTTCTTTTTTTCTCTGTCTTTTATGTTGTTTGTATGTCTCGTTCTTTCGTCTCGTTCTCTTTCTCTCTCTCTATTTCTCTTCCTTTCTCACTCAACCCCCCTTCTCTCTCTATCCTTTCTCACTCTCACTCTCTCTCTCTCTCTCTCTTCTCTCTCTCTCTCTTCTCTCTCTCTCTCTCTCTCTCTCTCTCTCTCTCTCTCGATGTTCTAAATAAAGCCGAATATCTTCAAAGAAATAGACCAACAATAAATGAGAGAAACGAGATAGTACGACAGAAAGAAGAAGAAGCAGAAAAAAATGAAAAGAAACCAGAGCAAGCGATAACACCGGAAGCAAAATCAAAGAGAAATACAAAGCGAAAGAGAAAAAAAGACGAAACGAAACGGAGAAGAGACAAAACCCGAACGTCTTAAGCAGGGAAGGAACACATACCGTGTTTATATCTCAATTAACACCCCCCGCCCCCTCCCTCTCCCTCTCCCTCCTCCTTTACCTCCCCCTCCCCTCTCCCTTCCTTCCTTCCAACCCCTCCCCCTCCCCCCTCCCTTCTCCCTCCCCTCCCTCCTGTTTTCCACACGCACACATAGACACACACACACATACGCACACACACAGACCTCATTAACATTAATTAATCGCAGTGCATTCCTTAAGAACTCCAATTAAGACCCCAAGGAAGAAGTCGATTTTTTTTTCTTCCTTTTCTTCCAAGACATTTAAGAAACCGTGAAGATTAGGGCAATAAAAGAGACAAAGTGTAAATTTTAGTTAATTACATCGAGGGGGGGGAGGGAGGGAGGGGTAAGGATGGGGGAGAGAAGGGAAAGGGAGGGAGGGAGGGAGATGTTCTCATTGCGTAGAAGGAGGGAGGGTGAGGGGAGGGGAAGGAAGGGGAGGGAAAGGAAGATGTTGGGAGGGAGGAAGGGGTTGAGCTGAGGGGGGGGGGCTTAATTACCTCAAAACCTTTACCCTAATTAACGGGAAAAGTACATAATCAAGGGAGCAAGATGGTGCTGCAGTGATAATGAGGGAGAATTGAGAGGGTGGCGGTAATGTCGGAGGTTTTGGGAGTGATTGTAAGTGTGTAAGTGATTGTAAGTGAGTGTAAGTGAATGTAAGTGATTGTGAGTAAGTGTAAGTGAGTCTGAGTGAGTGTAAATGAGTGTAAATGCTTGTAAGTGATTGTAAGTGAGTGTAAGTGATTGTAAGTGCGTGTAAGTGATTGTAAGTGAGTGTAAGTGATTACAAGTGATTACCGGGTGGTTTGTACGCTGATATCTTTAATTTCCAAGTGATTGCATCTTTTTATAGGTGATTACAAATCCAGATGATTGGATTTTAAGTGATTGTAAATGAGCATCAGTGATTGTATCTGAGAAGTAGGTGATTTGGCGGTAATTGTGCTTAACTGTAGGAGACTGGGTGATTCTAAAATTTTATAGACTATTAAATGATATTATAGTGAACTTTGTGTAAATATGGTGATTTTTTTGCGTTAATTCATGTAGATAGAAGTGACTTGAGAAAATGACTTGTATGTATATGTAATTATCTGTTGTTATAAGTGTTTGTAAGTGAATATAATTAAGTGTATATGACTGTGAAGTAATAAATCCGATGACACTGGTATAAACATATCAAAATAATGATAATTAATCTGTGTAACTCATTTGGAATAGAATAGAAACAAATGAAAAGGATAATTAAAGCGACATCATATTGTTAAAAAAAAGATTACTGATATCAAGTTTATTACAGGACTCTCTGAGATAATTGTAAAGACATTAGTAATATTGATAATGATAATACTATCAGTGTTACTGTTAATATCATCATCATCATCATCATAATTATCATTATAATCTTAATCATTATTATTGGTGGTATATTGTTACTGCTTTTGGTTATCCAATCATTATTATTGGTGGTATCATATTGTTACTGCTTTTGGTATCTCATTATTCTAACTTATTGGTGGTATCATTACTGTCACAGGTATTGGAGGTATCATTAGGAGGTATCACTATTATTGTTGGTATCATTACCAGTCAGTGACACGTAAATACACATCATACCAGGAAAGCCAACCCTGTGGTACGCGCATCCATACCATCTAGCGAACAGAGGCAGTTTAGGTGCGAAATTTAGCAAAAAAGAAAAGAAAAAAAGAAATAATAATAATAATAAAAATAATAAAAAAGATAAATAAATAGATAATTAAAAAAAGTCTATCCATTTGCCCATCCGCAGCCCATCACGCCCACTCCTCATCCACCTACTGCAAGCTATCACGCCCGTTCACCCACCATCTGAGGCTTAATAACGCCCATTCCACCACCCAGAGCCTGTCATGCCCACCATGCACTAATCCATGACCCCATCACGTCCAACAAACCCATCACGCCATCCATAAACTATCACGCCCATCCATAACCATCACGCCACCGCAACTCAAGCCCATCCACGCCCCCTCACCCACCATGCCATCCCCGCCATGCCCCTCCACCAGACCATCCCGCCGCCCATGCCCCTCCCCACAAACCCATCCACAACCCCTCCCCACCCATACTCTCCACAGCCATCCCGCGCCCATGCCCCTCGCTGCTGCCCATGCCCTCCCCCCAGCCCATCCGCGCCGCCCATACCCCTCCCCCCAGCCCATCCCGCCGCCCATACCCTCCCCCCAGCCGCGCGCCCATCCGCCGACCCCCCGCGCCATCTAAGTGTCGGCGCTCCCATCGACTCATTGAGGACGACACAAAAGGCCGAAACAGAGAGAGAGACAAAATCTCTTTCCATCAGGCGGCGACAATACAGTGCTAAGCTCCTGGTGGGGGGGGGTGAGGGCTAGGGGACGGGGGGGGACGGGGGGGGAGGGGAGGGGACGGGGGGTAGGGGACGGGGTAGGGGCGGGGTAGGGGTGGGGGGTAGGGTGGTGGGTGGGTGGGGGAGGGAAGCCATTGCCCAAGAATTAATTATCTTGTCCACTGGGTGTTTTTCCAAATACATTTTCAATCATCAGTTCCTAACAGGTATTTATCTTGGAAGCCTTGCGAGGGGGAGGGGGGAGGTGGGGAGGGGGGTTCTCTTTCATCGAGGAGACGGTGACTTCCTTTTTTGTTTTATTACCTATTTTCTTTGTCTTCCTCTTTCCTTTTTTTCTCTCCTTTTTTTCGCTTTCGGTGATATACTGACTCCAGTTCCCTCTCGCCTTTCGTTCGATGAGGACTTACTTTACGACCGGAGCGCTTTTCGTTCACTCTCCCTCTCGCTTCGTCTTTTTTTCCATGCCTCGCACTAAGCTGCCACAACCAGTTATCGCCATTTTTCCATTATAATGCGAAACGCGCGAGAATTTTGTTAATAAAGTTCGGCACCTGTGTTATCCCCGTTAGAGGCTGAGGCCCCGCGGGGATTGGCTGACAGCGACAAACTCAATTACGTTCGGCCAATAGGAAAGCGGCTTTTTCCTGCAAGTAGCACTAATCTTCTGATTGTATGACGGTCATTTACCGACTTTTTATTACCCCGAGACTCTCCCAAAGGAACGACTCAGGCCGTCGGACACAAAAGAAGCAATATAGGTGATCTAGAGCATTATAGTGCTAAATGACATAGCCTATAAGGTTTATACACTTATGGCCAAAGCAGATGGAGAAAGCCCCTTCGGACGAGCGAGGCAAATGGCGTTTTCTTTCGGCCTATTGCCAGGAGGGGAGACTCAATCATTCCATATTATTTGCTGGCGGAATTGGCCGTGACTCGGACTCGTCCTCCGCCGCCGCTCAATTGATATTTTGACGAGCACAAAAGGAGACGGTGATCGCGATGATGATGATGATGATAACTGGGATTATTAGGGATTACGCGCTTCCTCCACTTCCCGGCGGGATTAAAGGCTCGATCAAGTGGCTTTAGAACGATATTGAGGGGGAATCGCTGGCCGAGGGGTGGTGGGGGGGGGGGGATTCCGGAGGTCGAGGCACCGAGCGGGCGTCGGAACACGCGGTTTTTTAAATCTATTTCTGTCGTTTCATTTCTTTATCATTATTATTACTTGTCAGTTAGCCTTTTCTAAAGTGAATGCTCTACTTAAACAAAAGAAATGGAAATGAAATGTCTGCAAATATTTCGCTGCCATTTTTATTGATATTGTTCGGGACAGACACAAATCTTGTCATATCATATCTTGTGTGTGTGTGCGTGTGTGTGTGTGTGTGTGTGTGTTTGAGTGTGTGTGTGTGTTTGTGTGTGTGTGTGTTTGTGTGTGTGTGTGTGCGTGTGTGTTTGAGTGTGTGCATGGATGTATATATATTCAAAACAATTCTTTCACTTTTTTGTCTCTCTTTTTCTTTTTCTTTTTATCTAGCTCGAGGTTATCTTCACGACATTTCTTTTTATTACATATTATCCTTCACTCTCCGCCCTCTCTTCAGCTTTATCGCTCGTTCTTTTGTCCCGCCATTCTTTCCCTTTATCCGTGTCTCCTGACGTAATCTCCTTTCTTCTCCCCCTATTCTCCCCATCTCTCTATTCCTAGATCTTCTTTAGCTTTCTCTCTTTCTCTCTATTTTGTCCTTCTTTCCTTCCCTCTCTTTGTCTCTATTTCCCTTTTCGTCTTCTGGTTTTCCGGTATTTTCTCTGCTCTTCTCTTTCATGTCCTTCCTTCTGTAGTGTTTATTTTATTTCCCTCTCGTTCGTTTCTCTGTCTTTTTTCCTTTCGTCCATCTTCATTCCATGTTTTATCGTTAGCTTGTTCTCTCTCTCTTTTCCTTCTATTTTTACTTTCGTTTGGTTTCATCATTCTCTCCTTGCCTTTGTTTTATCTTTTTTGTTTTAATTCCTCTTTCTCTGTGTCTGCTCTTTTTGTCTCTCTTTCTGTCTGCCCTACCCTCTCTCTCTCTTTCTTTCTTTCTTGCTCTCTCTCTCTCCCCCCTCACTCCCCATTTTTTCTCTCTTCTTCTCTCTCTCTCTCTCTCTCTCTCTCTCTCTCTCTCTCTCTCTCTCTCTCTCTCTCTCTCTCTCTCTCTCTCATCTCTCTCTCTCTCTCTCTCTCTCTCTTCTCTCTCTCTCTCTCTCTCTCTCTCTTCCTTCTCTCTCTCTCTCTCTCTCTCTCTTCTCTCTCTCTCTCCCCTTTCTTTTTTCTCTCGCTCTCTCTCGCTACCTCTCCCTCCCTCCCCCTCTCCCTTTCTTTATGTCTCTTTCTATCTCTCTCTCTCGCTACTTCTCTCTCCCTTTCTTAATGTCTCTCTCTTCCTCCCTCTCTCTCTCTCTTAACCTTTCTTTATGTCTCTCTCTCTCCCTCTCTCGCTACTTCTCTCTCTCCTACCCTTCTCTCTTTCTTTATGTCTCTTTCTATCTCTCTCTCTCTCTCCTCTCGCTACCTCTCTCCCCTTTATCCCTCGACGCTCCCTTTCCCCTCACTCGTAAATACAGCTGCTGGTTCGAGGTCCGCGGAAGGGTAACAATGTCTGTGATAATCGGAACAGGCGTAAAATTAATCTGTTACTCACCACCCCTCCCACCCTCGTCCGTCCTCCCTCTCTATGGCTCTCTTTCTCTCTCTTGCTCTTTCTCTCTCTCGCGTTTTCTTTTTTTCTCTTTTTTCTTCTTCTTTTTTGTTTTTTTTTTTTTTTTCTCTTTTTCTCTCTCTTTCTCTTTCTTTTCTCGCGTTTTCTCTTTTTTCTTTCTTTCTTTCGCTCTCTCTCTTTCTTTTTATCCTTCTCTCCATATCACTTGGCACATTTTCCTTCGCCGTCGCTCTCTCTCTCTCTCTTTCTCTCTCTCTCTCTCTCTCTCTCTCTCTCTCTCTCTCTCTCTCTCTCTCTCATCTCTTCTCTCTCTCTCTCTCTCTCTTTTCATTTGTCATTCGCCCTGTTCCCTTTAACCTCGAATTTGCATTATTTTTTTTTTGCAAAAACCCGGAAACACAAACAAGGTCGCATGAAAAATATTTTTGAAATGTAACGAAATCATGAAACAAAAAAAAAAAGAAAAAAAGAAAAAAAAAAAAAGAAAGAAAAAAGAAAAAAAGGCAAAATATTAATAAAGCAAATGAACAACGAAGAGGAATTAGAAGCACAAGACGATAATACAGAAGGGAAAGGGTTAATGCCCCGAGCGTGAAGAGGGGAATTACCTCTGACCCTCTCTACCCCCCTCCCTCCCCACGCCCTTCCCTCTCCTCGTCTCTTCCCCCCCCATATCTCTAACTCTCCTCCTACCCCCCTTCTAACTCTCTCGTTCCGACTTCTCTCCCCTCCCCCCTCTCCCTTACATTCCCTCCCCTTCCCCTCCTCTCCCCCCTTCTTACCCCCTCCCCTCCCCTCCCTCTCATCTCACCCTTTAACCCCCACCCTCACCCCCATGTGACCCTCCCCCTCCCCTCTCCTACCTACCTTCCCCAACCTCCCTTTACTAACCCCCCTAACCCTTACCCCCTCCCTCCTCCTCCCTATCTACCTTCCCAACCCTCTTTTACTTTAACTCCCTCCCCCCTCCCTACCTTCCCCCTCCCCCTCTCCTCCTCCCCCCCCCCCCCTTTACCTTTTTCTTGAACACGTCCCTTTCCAGAGCTCTGACAACGTAATTGTGTATTCATGAGTCGGATGTTTCTGTAGGCAATGGTGGTATGGTGTCCTAAAAGTTTTTTTTTTTCTTTTTCTTTTTTCCTTTTTTTCCTGTGGGTGAGAGAGGAAGGGGTTGTGGGGGGGGTGGGTGGGGGTGGGGGGTTGTGGTGATGATTGTGATGATGATTGTGATGATTTTTTTTTATCTTGAGGTACACTATGTGTTGTATGTGTGAATGGGTTCTCTATATAGTGATGTGATATGGTGATGATGTCTTCGTTGGTGTAGTATGGTGATTATACGATAGTGACTGAATGATAGTGTTCTGTAGGTAATTAGTGGGTGTCGAGAGGTTTATGGTGTCTTTATAGTGAGCAGCGGATGAATTACAGCCAATGTGTCACGTGTCACTTCTTGATCGTGATAACGCCTTGACATCACTCTTAATGGTGACAATAATATTCCCTTAATCTCCTTCCCTTCTCCCTCTCCTTTCACCCTTCTCCCTCTCCCTTCTCCCATTCTCTTTCTCTTCCCCTCTTCTCCTCTCCCTCATCCCCTTCCCCATTTCTCCCTCTCCCCTCGCCCCTCTCCCTCTCTCTCTCCCCTCACCCCCTTCTCCCTCTCCCTTCATCCCTTCTTCCTCTCCCTCATCCCATTCTCCCTCTCTCTTCCCCTTCTCCTTCTTTCCTCACCCCTTCTCCCTTTCCCCTCACACCCTTCCCTCTCCCCCATCCTATTCTCCTCTCTCTTCCCCCCTTCTCCCTCTCCGTCTCCTCCCCCCTTCTCCCTCTTCTCCTCCCCCCCTCCCTCTCCCCTCATCCCCCCCCCAGGCCACCACCCCTTATCCCCGAGGAAAAGGCAATGAATAAACCTGCGATAGCTTAATAAAACGGAGAGAAGAAAGAGATATGAGAGAGGCGAAAAAAAGAGGGAGGAAAGGAGGGGAGAGAGAGGGAAGAGAGACGTCAAGAGGGAGAGTGAAGGACTACGGAGAGAAGAGAGAGAGAGAGAGAGAGAGAGAGAGAGAGAGAGAGAGAGAGAGAGAGAGAGAGAGAGAGAGAGAGAGAGAGAGAGAGAGAGAGAGAGAGAGCATTAAGACAAAAGAGAAAGAGGAGAGAGAGAGAGAGAGAGAGAGAGAGAGAAGAGAGAGAGAGAGAGAGAGAGAGAGAGAGAGAGAGAGAGAGAGAGAGAGAGAGAGAGAGAGAGAGAGAGAGGAGAGAGGAGAGAGAGGAGCGAAAGAGAGAGAGAGAGAGAGAATGGAAAAGCAAAAGATCAAGATCACCCCTCCAAATACCCCTTTTCCTTCCCCTCTCCCCTCTCCCCTCCCCCCCTCATAAATCGCCCTCATAACAGGTGCGAGCCACTAACATCAAGCCCATAACACGCAATCGGTTTGATACACTTTGCTGTGTCTTCACGCTACCGGTTGGGGGAGGGGGAGGAAGGGAGGAGGGGAGGGGAGGAGGGGAGGAGGGGAGGAGGGAGGAGGGGATGAAGGGAGGAGGGGAGGAGGGGGAGGAAGGGGAAGGAAGAGGAAGGGAAGGTGGAAGGAGGAAGAGAGGGAGGAAAGGAGAGGGAAAGGAGGGAAAGAGGGAAGGAAGGAAGGAAAAAGGGAAGGAGGAGGAGGGAAGGGAGATGGAAAGGAGGAGGGGGGGGGATGTTCAAGGAAAAAAGGAGGAGGGAAAGGAGGGAAGGAAGGGAGAGGAAAGGAGAAAGAGGAGGAAGAAAAAGGGGGAAAGAAGAAAAGAAGGAAAAAAGGAAAACACAAAGAGAGGAGCGATAGAAAGGGNCTCTCTCTCCTCTCTCTTCTCTTATCGCTTTCTCTCTCTCTCTCTCTCTTCTCTCTCTCCTCTCCTCTCTCTCTTTCTCTCTCTTTCTCTCTCTTTCTCTCTCTCTCTCTCTTCTCTCTCTCTCTCTCTCTCTTCTCTCTCTCTCTCTCTCTCTCTCTCTCTCTCTCTCTCTCTCTCTCTTCTCTCTCTCTTTCTCTCTCTCTCTCTCTCTCTCTCTCTCTCTCCTCTCCTGTCTCTCTTCTTTCTCTCTCTTCTCTCTCTTTCTCTCTCTCTCTTTCCTCTCTCTCTTTCTCTCTCCTTCTCTCGTTCTCTCTCTCTCGTCTCTCTCTCTCTCTCTTCTCTCTCTCTCTCTCTCTCTCTCTCTCTCTCTCTCTCTCTCTCTCTCTCTCTCTCTCTCTCTCTCTCTCTCTCTCTTCTCTCTCTCTTCTCTCTCTCTCTCTCTCTCTCTCTTCTCTCTCTCTCTCGCTCTCTCTCTCTCCTCTCTCTGCTTTCTTCAGGTCTTCTTTCTTTCTTTATCCTTTTTCCTTAACTCTTTACTCTTTATCTGTCTCCCTCTCTCTCTGCATACAACAATTACTATCTATCTATCTATCTATTATCTATCTATTATCTATATATATATTATATATATATATATATATTATATATATATATATATATATATTATATATATATATATATATATATTGGATACATGTCTGTGTGTTTGTTTGTTTTTCTTGCTCCTCCCTTTTATCTTTCTACCTTCTTATACGTCTTCTTCCTCCCTTCTTATCCTCGTTCCTCCTCTTTTTTTTTTCTTTCTTTCTGCCCTTTGTTTTTTTTCAGAATTTTCTTCTTCTTTTTATTGATTTT